GTGGAGGCAGTGACCACGTGCCTCTGCTCCTAATGGGGCCTTGAGCTATTCCCTGAACCTCACCACTTCTCAATTAAAACACCTGAAACACGCGATAATGCTTCGTTACCCACTTCCCAGAGCATTTTGAGGTGTTAATTAAGTAATGTTTATAGAAGCTGTGGTTACCTCAAGATGCACAGGCAGATAAGTGGCTACTTTTAATAATCTTCTGAATCCTTGTGCAGGCACACAAACCTGCCCACAGATCTGTCCAAAGCCCACCATGCTCTGTGGAGCATCATGGCATGACTGGTGGGTCCAAATGTCATTCCTCCTCAAGTGGAGAGAAGAACAAATATTTAGTGTTAAACCTCAGCAAAGCAGCAGAAGCTGAGGAGTGGGAGGACAAAACCTCCCTCCCAGCTGGGTGCAGTGCAAGGAGAGCCCCCCAAACTGTTCACTTGGCTATATAAAAGCCAAAATCCATTTCCTGGGTGTAGTGAGGTATTGCAGAGGACCAGCAGCTCCTGCTTTAGTGATCCCGCAAGGCCGGGGCAGCAAAGACTCTGTGTTGGGAGGAGGGATGTCCCAGTTCCCAGGGAAAACAGGGGGTCTCAAGCAGAAATGAGGCAATGAAAGAAAACCCCCATTGTTTTGGTGGCTGCCACAGCAGTTAGAAAAGCAGGAGCTGCCTCCATAGGGCTGGGGTGGTGGGGTAGAAATTAAACTACTGGGCTTGTGATCACCGTGGCTGTGCTGTATTATGGCAACAGAGACTCTATGGGGTAGAAGTAAATCTGTGTGCAGGTTGGGACTTGAGGCTGGAGCTTTATCTTGGAGGATTCACTCCTGTTTTCCTCTCCCTGCGATGGGACACGTCTGTGCACCCGTGAGCAGGGGCAGCATCTCCCTGGTGCTGCCGGTCCCATTTAACCTGTTCAGGGGGCTGTGATCAGCACCAGTCCCCAACAAACCCGAAGGGCCATTGAGGCAGATCATAGCCCTGCTGGAGCTGCACACCACCCAGCTTGGACCCCCAGCAGAGGCGACCCTGGGGCTGGGTGTCAGCAGCAAGAGCTTGCTGCAAACCGGCCCCTGGGCTGGCAGAGCAGCACAGAGCAGCTGCCCTGCTTCTGGGAGGATTTTCAGGTTGTACAAGGTGGAGAAAGGCACCATATCCTCCTCCCTGGAGAAGCAAGAGCCAAGGCTGCTCCTCCTGTCTCACCTGTTGGGGGGTAATTTTGCAATCTGCCAGCCCCTACCCAGCACCCACAGCAAGCCCAGTGCAGCAGAGAGCAGGCACTGAGCTCCATTTTAGGACAGCCTGTGCCATGTTAAGTCATGCGAATAAATAAATACCCAGCAAGAAAAAGAAACCCTCAACACACACAAAAAAAAGCCCTCTTCAAACTGTCAAGCTCGCAGTACCTCAGCAAAGAGCATTAGCTTCACCTTGGCCTGTGAAGTACTCCTGGTACTGCAGATTTTCCATGAGTGATCAGGCAGTTTTTCTGAGTAGAAATTTGTTTTATAATTCTAAAATTAGACCAGGAACATAGTAGGGTAGCCAAGGAAAGAAAGTTTGGCTGGTCAAAGCAGCTCTGCCCAGCAATCACCCAATGTGAGTGTATTACATCAATCCAGCCTGGAGCTGAACAGCTCCAGCACTGCTGATGGGGAAATATCTGGTGGCAAATCCATTAAGCTTCACTGATCCCCATGGTGTTAGAATGTCTGCCTTTTTTTTTTTTTTTAAGATTTAAGCTTGTTTAGCTAATGAGCTTCTTTATCCTTCTGAAAGGAGACAGTGCTGAGGGTGGGGATGTGTGTTGCTTATTGTGAGCATGGCAGGCAGTGCTGGGGTGGTGCTGAGAGGCCAGGAACACCCCAGGCACTGGGGAATGGGGGACAGCTGTGCTGTTAGAGCCGTTGTCTGAGTCCATCCCCTCCCAAGGCCACTCAGACAGGACAGAAAATAACCTCTCTGCTGCTTTTCCTTTCCGCAGCTGAGAGCATCCCACCCCAGGGATGCCATCAGTACCCAGGCATTGCCTCAGGCTGTTCCAGTCCTGTGCATGAGAGCTGACATTCCTGGGGGACCCTGTGCACCAGCCTGGACCCCTTTTCCTGCCCTGAGCTGACCATCAAGACATGAGGAGAGCAGGTGAGCAAAGCCACAGCAGTCAACAACTGCCCTGCCCTGGGTCTTGGGTTTTCCAAACCCTCCAGATTTAGGGGCTGGATGAAGAGTTTGCCTTTGGTCCCTGACACTGGGGCTCTGTTTGCAGAGGGCACCCGTCACTCTGAAATACATCCAGCCCTGCCGGAACACCAAAGGGCTGCTCCCGGCCCCTCCGCGGGGCCACATCCGGCACTGCTGGGTGTATATCACAGTGACAGCTCTGGAAAGGGCTCAGGGCTGTAAATGAAATCCCTGTCTCAGAGAGTGAGCTCCACACCGAGGGACTCTGTGGTCTGGGCTTCATCAATAAATCTCCTTCAATAAATCCTCTGGAGCAGGACAGAAGAGTGGGGGGCTGCGGCTTCGCGCCTTGACCAGTTCACACTGGGTGAGAAGGGAGCAAAGCTGAACCCCTCGGAGAGCCTGGGCTGCCTGTGGGGTTGCTCTGCTGCAGAAAAAGGCTGAATACTGGGTACAGATACACGGGGAGCGGTGCTCGTGCAGGATCTCTGTTACAGTGTGTGTGCACAGACCAGAGACCCAAAGTCTTCTCCAGGTTTGCCACAGAGAGGCTGTCCTGTCTGCAGGCAGGTTTGGGTGCTGGCATCTCAAAAGCACCAAAAACAGCAATAGCATTTCCCCACTGATTGGATCCGCAGCAGGTCACAGGTCCCTGCCCACCTGAGGAAAAGAAAGTCAGGAGTGAACCCCAACCCTGGTGACACTGCAGCCATGCATGGAAGGCAAAGCTGCTGCCCACACCCCAGCCCCGAATCTTGATCTGCCGGGCTCTGCCCGCAGCGCTGAGTCACAGCTGCAGTGATCCGGATCTGGCACAGAGCACCTGGGCTGCCCCCGCGCCCTCCACCTCCCACCACATCCCAGCCCAGCCCTACCTGCCTGAACCACAGGCTGGCACCAGTCCCAGCCAGGGTGTCACCTTGCCAGGATGTCCCAGCTGGAGCCTTGTGTCCTGAAATGCTGGGTTCAGCCCTTGGAGACACCAGCCTTGGGGAATGGGCAGCACTGAGGTGGGCAGGGGCAGGTGGGCAGCCCAGGGAGCAGAGTAGGGAGCTCATGCAGCACCCCTGGCTCTGTTCCCAGTTGCAATCCCTTCCCAGATTACAACAATAGGGAATGCAATGGGAATTAGTACCTGAGCACTTCAGAGCTTTCCCAGCCAGCACTTGGGGTTTCAGTCCCATGACAGCAGTGGTGGGTCTCACAACCTCCCTTCAGCCCTGGGGAGGTGCTGTGCTCAGGGTAGAGCCAAATTTAAGACTCAATGATCCTGGAAAGTGCTTCCCATGGATGTCAGGGGTTTGGGGTTTTTTCTATTTTGCAGTAGAGCCAGGTGTTGTTTCTCCTGACTGGTTATTCAGCTGTGGCTCTTGGGGCTGAGTAGCAGAGATCAGTTCCCAATCCCATTTCACAGTGGCCCATCTCAAGCTGAGTGAGCCGTCACAAGCCACACCGTGCTTTGGGTAGCTTTTATTTGCTGGGATAGATCACCCAGCCCTGGGAAAGGGTGAGTTATTCCCAGGGAGGTGGGAGCGATGAATATTTTTAATATATTTTTCCCAGAGAGTGAGATCTCTCTCTATTCATACCAGATTTGCTCAGAAGCCAAACGAAGTGACTCTGGGATGGTTCATGTTCAGGCAGCTGCTGTGCTGATCCGAGCGTGCCGAGAGCACGCGAGCCGAGCTCACTGTCTGTGCTTGCTGGCGCGTGCCTCATTTCTTTTGAAAATCAGATGCTTTAGGGGAAACTTTCTTCTTCCAGCTCTGCGTGCCCACATCTTGCATATGCAGGCAATCTGGCACACCTCTGCTCCGTGTGCAGATAAAGGCACGGGCGAGCCAGGCTGGGAGAGGGCTGGAACCCAATGGAAAACTTCCCATGCCGCAGTGGGGCTGTAAAACCCAGCTCCCAGCCCACTCTTCACTTTCCAACAACAGAGGGGAGGTTTTCTCCCTGGTCATCTCTTCATGGCTGAAGGCTCAGTGTCCAGGTGCTTTGTTGGGATTGGGATTACTGGCCATGACTCAGTAACCCGGAATGACTTTTAGGGGAGAAGCTCCTGTGTGGCAATGCTGAATGCCTTGCTGTGGAACTCTGTCTTCTCCCAGAATGGTTTTCATGGTTCTGGAAAACCCCACAGGTGTTGTGTCCACCCCAGATTCCTGCAGGGCTTGGCTCTGCACACCACCTCTCCTGGTCTTCTGTAAAATTGGGTGAAAAACTCTGGTGTCTCCGAAGGTTCCCAAGGGGCTGCAGCCAGCAAGGCCATACAGAAAGCCTGGGTGATGACAGTGAGGTGACTGAGTGGTACATGTTGCCTCTGTAGAAACTGTGTGTGGTGCCAGAGGGAGAAGTGATGCATGGACCCATCTCCTGCTGGGCCCATCGGGGTCAAGCAACAACGCTACTGCAAATTTTCCCACCATAAGTCCCCATGTGGTCCTGACACAAGTCCTGCAGTCCACTCTTTATCCTCAATAAAATGTCCTGCCCCACCTCATCCCAGAGAAATGTAATTTAAACAGCTCAGCAGGTAGAGGAAAAGCCTGATTTTCCAGCTGGGCTTTCAGTTCTCCCAGTTTCCAAGACATACTCTTTGCTGTGCTCAGAGCTGAGGCAGGGTGGACAAAAATGCATCTCATGGTTTAGGAAATGATTTCCTTTCCTAGCTTTGGGCTTTGCCCCAGGACACCACATGCACAAGACTCATCTCTTTTATTGGACTTTTTCTTTCTATTTTAGGCTGAAACCTGAATAATTTGAAACAAAAGGACATCCTTGTGCAGGAGCAGCGTGTGGCTCAGCCCTGAACATGACCACAGAGAGTTTTGCAGAGTTCCTGAACAAGCTCAAGGAAATCCATGAGAAAGAGGTCCAAGGTAAGGAGACATGAGATGTCTGATCAAAAACTGGCCAAGGTCCATTTCTGTGTAATGCCACCTTGATCTGTTTGGTTTCAAATAACCTGAAGGGAGGAGGAGCAGGTGTGGAACTTTGGGGATTAGTGCTGAGCAAGCATTACCCGTGGGGATGGACTGGGACATGGGGTCACAGCCTGGCCCTCAGGGGATCACCCCCTCTGATGGCACCTTGGTGCCTCTCACCGGCAGAGAACAAAGTTTACTGAGAAAATCAGTAACTTTTTGGATGATGAGGAGGAGCAGAAGAGAGCACCCAAGGCTCCTGGAGAGCGAGCCACGGAGGTGCTCAGTCCCTGCGGGAATCCCACTTGCTCCAAGTGTTAGCCGTGGGGGATTTGGCTCCTTTCCTGCTCCTGGTGCCATAGTCTGTGCTAAAGGTGAACTGGGAGGTTTGCAGAGGTGACACACACACCTGCTGGGCATCTGCTCCAAGCAATGAGGATTGGAGTACATTTGGATAGTGAAGGATCAAAGGAAAACAGAGAGATGCAATAATCTATAAGACAGAAGCAGCAGGAGATGAAGCTCTGTTAAAGAAAACATTAGAGTCAGGTTGGATAGTTTATTCCTCTAGGGAATAAATTATTCCTCAGGTCATACATTATTAAAATAAAACCCATTAGGTTAAGCAACCGAATGCCAAATACAATTGTTTTCCTATTAGAATAATTCCCAGTATCAATATTATGAACAAAACATCAGCACTTTTGGAGGATTCTGGCTTATGAATTCATTCTTCACTTGTGTAATTTCAAGCCGTGTGAGAGTTAGAGGAAGCTGTTGAGCAATTTAAACCACATGTTTACATCTACTTTGCATAAAATGTATTTGACAGGATGTAACGTCTGCAGATCCATCAACCAAAGCCGTTCGTGCTCAGCTGTAAATATTCTCCAAGATGCTTTCCAACCCTGAGAGCTATAAAATACTACCCACCTGGGAAATGTATGCTGTAGCAAGAAATAAGTAGAAACAAAACTAAACCAGACTTCTGGGGGGGGGGAGGTGGGAGGCAAATGCAGATGCATTAAATACTCGGAATACAAAATGTGCTCACATCCTGTACAGCTTTTCCAGCTATATTAAACTGTGGTGGTGTTTCACACACACACTGTGTTATTCCTTCTCGGAAATACGGTTTGCAAATCGATGAGATTTCTGCAAAGCCACGCACCTTCCTGAAGTTCCATCGCTGCAGTTTGTTTCTGAGTGCCAGGGGACTGGCAACAAACACCCACCTCTCTGCCTCTGTTCCTTGTTCCAGGTCTGCACAGCAAGCTGACAGAGCTGACGACGGAGAAGTGCCGGTGAGCAATGCCGAGCCCACCCCACCCATGCTGCGGTGGGACAGGGGGTGGAGGGGTGGTTACACTGCTTAGTTTTCAGACCTCCCGAGTTCTCCTCCAAAACTGATGGATTTAGGGAGCACTGCTTGCCTTTCTGGCTCTGCCAAATTCAAACCCTTCGGGAGTTTTTGCCACACAAGTCCCCAGCACAGGCAGGGCTTGGTGTGATCCCAACCTACCTCCAGTTCGCCTTCCCACTGGCAAGTGATGCTCGTGCCAGCTCATGATTATTCTCTTGGGAAGCAATAAACCATGAGGAAGCAAGCTCCTAACTCCAAGGGAGGTGTCACAGGGCAGTGTCTGGGCTCTAACACATTTGTTTCCCCTCCTGCCCCACAAGCAAAAGGGTGCTGTGGATGGAGGCACAGATTTTGGGGAGAAATCCAATAACCCCCTTTTTTTGTGTGTTCTGTTTTTTCAATTAGCGATGCTCAGAGAATTGAAGAGCTGTTTGCTAAAAATCACCAATTGAGAGAACAACAAAAGGTCCTTAAAGAAAATGTAAAGGTGTTAGAAAACAGGTAGGATTTGGTTTTCAATAGAGTGCTGCTTAGTGGCAGCAACTGCACCATCCTAGGGGGAGACTTCAGAATTTGCTGTCTTCCCTGGAGTGGGGTGTAGCACAGGAACCTCTGCATTGCTCATACTCAGCTGCTGGGAGAGCTGGAGGAGTCTGAGCACATGCAGAGGAGCTTTCCTAAGCTCATGATGGTGGGACTAGATCTGGGGGGGTGGAAGGGTCAGTGATAACCCCTCTCACCAATTTGGGGTGATGGGCTGGGTGTTCACGCTTCTCTGTGGGGAGGGCAGGAGCTTATTTCCCCCATGGAAACCGTGTGGTAACAAGCTGCTGGCCGTGTTTTTTCCTTCCTCCAGACTGCGAGCAGGTCTCTGTGACAGATGCATGGTCACCCAGGAGCTGGCCAAAAAGAAGCAGAATGAGTATGAGACCTCCCATTTCCAGAGCCTGCAGCACATCTTCATCCTCTGTACGTACCACTGCCCGCTGTAGGCTCAGCTTTGGCTGTCTCAGCCTTTGCTCAGTTAATGCCTCTCCCAGATACTTGCACAGGAGCCCTCGTGGTGACCAGGCACCCAGAAGGGGTTTGGGGATGGGGAGAAGGGAGGGAGCAGAGCTGTGGATGTCAGCCACACCCCCCAAGCAGAGGTAACAAAGCAGCAGACCTGGGGGTTGCAGCTCTCTGCGCCTCCAGAAAAGAAATGCCAGGCCATGTCAGCTGCAAGGAAAAAAGATGCATTTGGCATGGCAGGAGCAACACTCTGGCAAAGACAGGAAAGTCACAGCAGCAGCTCAGCACGGGTAAATGGAAATCAAGCAACACGTGTGATGGATCTTCTCCTGAGCTTTTGGCAGGGCTCCCAGCACTGCTCAAGAGTGTTTTTTTCTCCCTGGGGATTGAGCTGACCCCGGGAGGGTCCTGGGGGTAAGGGAGATAAGGCATTTAGAAGGGATGGAGAGGTGCCAACAGCCCTTGGTTTATCTCCCCTGCTATGCCACTGCTCCCCGAGTGCTGCTTTCGAGCAGGAGCAAGCCAAGGCAGTCACCCACCCTGCCCGCGCTTGCCCGCGGCCTCCTCGCTGCAGCACCCGCCTGCTGGGTGCTCTCAGCTCCCTCTGGAATTTGCCTGATCCCACCCCAGACCCCCAGTACTCCCCCTAACTCAGCACCTGCTCATCAGGGGCAGCTGTGGTGTTCAGGGCAGGATGTTGGCTGTGTCCAACCCACCACACCACGGCCACTGCTGTATCTGGGTCGTGCTCTCCCCCTGAGCTGGATGAGCTGCCGTTCCCCCCTCCTCCTCCCTTGGGGACCCCAGCGACCTGTGGGGAGTGTCAGCTCTCTCCTTGCAGCACCTGAACCCTCAGCACAACCTCTGTCCCTGCAGCTAATGAGACAAATCGCCTGAGGGAAGAGAACAAAACTCTCAAGGAAGAACTGAAGAAGCTCCGGAGCCTGGAGTAAGTGCTTCCCTGGGTTTCATTCATTCTCAGGGGTGTTAGTAAAGACAGGGGCATCCCCACAGCTGAGCAGGGCTATGTCCAGACTGCAGCATCCTCAGGGGTATTTTAGCATCTAACTCCTGTGGATTCCTTTATATATTAGACATTGAAACATTCCCAACAGTCTCAAAACCCTTGTTGACCTTTACTCGCTCCCCTGTTAACCTGCATCCAAGGATTCAGTGTTTGGGGAACAAGGGTATTCAACCCTTCTCCTCCTCATGGGGTACAGCTCATGGGAAACAAAGTCCTGGGTGCTTAGCTTGGCCATGGACCTCCACCTGGGCTCTTCCATGGCACCAGCTCCCCTCCTGCATCAGCCAGGTTGTGTTTTGGAGGAAGGAGATTGACACACAAGGAACTGTGTTTTGGTTAAAGAGGGAGAAGAGATCAGCACCAACAGGTTCGTATCCTGACAGAGCACTGTGCTGAAAGCCAAGTAACCTGCCAGGCTGGCCAATATATACAAATCAGCTCATTCCTCAAGGGTTTAAAGTCCAGAGGAATTAGCACTGAGGAATTAGTTTAGAAATGTGTTTTCTTTGGAGCACAGGAACATCATCCGCTTAAAGAGAAACTGTGGCTTTTACTCCCCAAATGCTTCTCAAGACCTGACTAATTCCAGAGCTGTAGGTTGGGCAGGGCTTGATGAGTGCTCCCGCTCTGCTCTGCTCTCCCTGGGATGCTGGATAGGAAGATTTCCAGCCAAACATCTATGTCTCAGCCAGGACTTTGTCCATGACATAAACATGTGTCTCCAAGACTTAGTCATTCCCTCATAGTCATCAAGAGCATCAGCCCCTCCATCCTGATATGGTGACAGAGCACAGCCACCACATCCTCATGCTGAATCCACCCCTAAATCAGGCTATAACCCCAGCCAGGGACATACACATTCCCACAGGGCTTTTGCAATAGTCACAGCTGGGTCCTGGCTTACCCAACATCGTGGCATCCTGTGACATTACCCACAGCCAAGTGGGGCAATCAGACCTTGAGCTGTTGTGCTGGCTCTGTCCCATGCTCCAGACTGCAGCTGAGCTAGTGATAAGCTTCAGTGGAAGGAGATGAGTCTGAGGATCCAGTATATCCACATACACACTTACATAAATATGCATATTTGTATATCAGGCTCAGAGCTCCCAGTACAGTGGCTCCAAAACCTTCCTTCTCCTACCCCTTCCCATTAATTCATGTCCTTTTCCTTTCAACAGGGACAGGGCAAAGAACCCAGGAGTCACCTCCAGAGAAAGCAGCTCCACGCCAAGCTCCCCATTGCCTTTACTGTCCCCGATGAGCAGAAATGTTGGCAGTGAGAAAGGAGCTCACAGGGAAGCAGAAGAAGCCCACCATGATGTGGCAGACCTTGAACTGGGAGAAGGTGGGTGTTGCTGGCTCCTGCCACCCTTGAGGGACCTTAGGATGGGAAGAGTGACAGAGTCATGGTGCAAAACTGCTCTGGGAAAGGGTCTGGAGAGCAAAGGCCAAGCTGTTGCCATCTCAGATGGATGTTGCCATGGGTAGAACAGGTGCTGGGAGAGAAATACACATCAAAGGAGAAACACACTGCTCTACATTAGAGAAAAAGAGTGTTTGGGAGCCCTCACTGTAACACAAGTGATGTGCAAGTGTGGATCCTGTTTCATGCAGAGACCATGTTGTTGCCTTGCCCAACCACATGTGTAATGGAGGGAACATTCAATCAAGTGCTGGCTTGAGCCAAAAGGAAATTTTGACTCAAAGTTTTCAGTAAGAGGTGGTTGGTACCAGCCAGTGGGTCCCTGGGAGGCTGTGAGACTCCAGCACACTGCAGGGCAGGGCTGCAGCAGCTCTGGGTGACTGTTTGTGTCTTTTTTGCAGAAAAGCCTGCAGCACAGAAAAGCTCTCCAAGCAGCAGGACTTCCCCAGGCACTGTCCTCCAAGAAGTCAGCCTTGCAGAAATGGTGAGTTGTCAGAGGTGGTCCGATGTCCTCAGGCCTTCTTCCCACCGCTGTGGTCATCTGAACTGGATCAAGACAAGCAGATTAGGATAGGGAAAGAGTAGGAGGCACTCAGAGGGGAAACAACTAACCAGACTTGGGCAGTGCCAAGGAGGGCACCTACCTTTGCAGAAATTGCCATTTGCTGCAAGCAAAGCATGTGAAGTTTGGCACAGGCTCCTGTCCCTGCTGCGAACATGCACATCCATGTTTGCTCCTGTGTTTATCCTTCATGACAACACATCCAGCATCCTTGAGTCCTCTGCCCAATGCTCTGGTTCCTCTCTCAGATGTCTTGCTGGGGAAACCTCTGAGGAATGAAGGAGCTGGGGAGATTGTGCTGAGCCACATTTCAGTGTAGCTTATCCTGAGCTCTCCATTACCTGGGTGAGCAAGGAGCTGGAGCACAGTGAATGTTGGAAAAGCCTGGAGAACGTGTAAACTGTGGGAGTTGTGGGTACCAGGAACAAACACACCACAGCAGCCCTGCCCAAGAGCAGATACAGGCGTCTCTCCATTTGAAGCATAATGAATATTGGTATTTTCAGAGGCCTGGCGTTCAGTGGTTGCCATTTTGTGCATTGATGCAAACACAAACACAGAAAGCGTGCCAGCTGAGGGTTGCTGAGTGATATGGTGACACTGGGTGCTGGGAGATGAGACTGCAGGATCTGAAGCCGTGCTCCTGGTCATGGGAAATCAAGCCCACATACACACCCACAGAGGTGCTTCTGTTTTGGGACAGGTTTTGCTTACCTGACCTCCACAAAAAACTTGAAAGAGCAGGTAAAAAGGGGCTTTGGTAAGGCTGCAGGCAGGCTGTGGGAATAATTAATAGGGATCACAGGAAGGGCTGGTGGGCAGGGAAAAGTCAGGTCAGAACATGTGGTGAGCCTTTCATGGCAGCTGATGGAGATGATGATGTCCTGGCCTCACAACCAGGTACTCCACTAGAAATACACCCACCAAAGCTGTGTGTGCCAGGAGCTTACATGAGTAAAGGCTAGGGAATTTGCAGGGTCTTATCTTGGTTAAGCCACTGAATCATGACTTAAGCAGAGACACAAGACCTCCTGCTCTACAAATCAGGGCAGCCCAAAAACAGAGAGTGCAGTAGATCCTGCCAGAAAGCATAAGGGGGAAATCTCCCAGTAAAAATTAATAAAAATCTGGTCAAGCTGTTGACCAGAATCATCAAACAGAGCACTCAGGAGCTGCTTGTCTTGTTCTCACTGGTGAAGAGATGCATCCCAGCTCAGCTGGGCTCCCTGTAGCTCGGGGTGCACAGTAGAATGGCTCACCTGGACTTTCTCCCCTCTGCCGCAGGCATCCCAGAGGATTTCCAACCAGCTGCATGGAACCATTGCCCTGGTGAGACCTGGTTCCAGGCCCTGTCTTCTGGAAAAAAGTCCTTCAGGGACAGCAGTGTCCCCACCAGCGAGGAAGACTCCTCTCCCTCCGGAGCGCGAGCACAGCCCCAGCCTTGAGGCGTGAGTACCAGCTCCTGGCCTGATCCATGGCCCAAGGCACTGTCCCACTGGGCAGACTGGGATGAGATGGCCAGTATTCACTGTGCCTGTCCACCTTCCCCTCCAATCTTCTCCCACAGCCTTGGGGAGGGGGGAATCTCCCAGTTTATGCCAGCAAAAAATGACCGGAATGCAGCCCAACAAGACCAGCCTCTCATTATTCCAGCTTCTCAGAGAGACCCATAAAGTGAACCGGGTGCCCCCACCTCCAGCTAGGAGAAGGACTTGTCCCAGGGCAGGCAGGAATCCCTGCTCCTCCTTATCTATTCTAATGGGCTTTTCTACAGGGCTCAGCACTTCCCAGACTTATCCTCCCCATGGATTTCAGAAGCACAGAAGGCTGAGCAAGGCTAGTGAGTTCACCAGTAGCAAGTTTTCCAGAGTGGGAGGAGCTCTGCTGAACATTCCTGGGAAAAGCTTGCACTCATGGAAGGGAAATAACCAGCGATAGCAGGGACTGGGTTTACAGGGCAGGTTCATGCACTGTGCCAACCTTCTTAGCATGGGTGTAAAAGGCTCCCATTGAGTGAGATTAGGGCAGAGTGGGCTGTTCCTCTGTCCTGAGTGTCTTCAGGCCCACCAAGGCACTAAGAAAGCCCAGGAGGGTGGGTAGGATGCTGCTGGCTGTAAGGCATGATTTGAAAAGTGATGTCTCAGCAGCAGTGCTGATGTGAGTGGTCACTGCATCCTCACCCTCGCTCAACCCACTGCCTGGACCTACTGTGGCCCAGGGACAGGGGATTGCTGCTGGATAGGGATGGTTTCCTGCAGTGTGTGCAGTGAGGAGACCTGCTGCCTGAACCCCCCGGCCACCAGGACCTTCTTCCCCAGCACCCAAAGGCAAGCGTGATGCACAGGCCAAGAGCTGCAAGAGGGCATAGAAAGACCATGTACATACCCTACAGGGCTAGGAAACCACGGGGAAACTCTCTATTTAAAATGATGGGGTTTTTCATTACTTTTTTTAGTTATTTAACAGCAAGCAAACTTGACTCCCCCAAGGCTGCTCCATCCTACGAAAACCTCAAACTGACCACCCGGAGAGAGCAGCTCTGCCTCCTCCACAAGCACCTTTCCCTGCACCAGCTGGGGCTGGCGAGTCACTGCACCTCGGCTGAGCGGGATGGCAGCAGCTTCTCCAGCCATTTGCTCAGGACCAAAGATGCCGAGGGCAGGACACGGTCACGCGACGGCTGGGAAGATCATGCAGCCTTGCTGAAGCTCCCTGCCACCATGGTGTACGTGAGGGATCAGCACCTGGAAGAAAAACTGCACCTCCTCAAGCACCGGGAGAGGCTGCAGCACCTCCTCATGCAGCAGTGCCAGCCAGGCCAGCGGGCAGAGGGAGACACCAAGCTCACACCTGAGGAGCGGCCCCTCTCCCCGTGGCTGAGCATCGCGGCGGGATGCAAGGAGGAAAGGTCCTTCCTGGAGGATGCCGCGGATGCGAAGGAAGAGAAGGAGCTTTGGCTGAGCCGAGATCGCCCCGAGCTCCGAGTAAAGGTGAAGGAGGCAAGGGATGATGATGCAGACACGCCACTGGATCTGTCAGACTCCGGCCGTGGCAGGGAATCAGACTGGCACCACCGCCGGGAGCTGCGGGGGTGCGGCAGCCCCGGGGAGAGCCCCGCTGAGCTGACAGCCCGCGGCCCTAGCGGGAGACACAGGGCACAGCGGGACGACCTGCGCTACCCCTACCACTGGCCCAGTGCCACCCGGGCACTGCCTGGTGCTGCCAAGCAGGAAGAGGAGGAGGAAGAGGATGCAGCTGTGGTGAGTACAGCTCGTGTTGGCACCAGCTGTGACCCCTTCCCCTCCCCAGGGTGTCCAGCACTGCTGCTGGCACCATTGTGACCACTGTTAGGAGGATGGCTTTGATTTATGTGATGCCAACTTGCACATGGCAGAGCCACAGCTGCTCAGCCTGGGCTCTCATTCCCCCTCTCCCCTCCAGTGCCTGTGGGGTTTCCATCCAAGCCCAAGGACAGGCAGTGTCTGTGCCCCCTCCTGCAGGCTGGTGCAGGAGGTGTGCTGGGCTCCCTGCAACACACCACAGCACACAGAAACGCCTCTGTGATGCTCGTCCCCATGGGTGTCGCACATAAGGGCTGGGGACAATCCTTTCGTCCTGCCTGGTGGCAACAACCTTTGTGCTCCCTGTATCCCTGTATCCCACAGCTCACGCTCTCACGGGCACATCTGACAAACAGCTCCACACCGAGCAACCCGGAGGCCCTTCCTGAATCTGGGGTGAGACGGGATGTGAGTGCACAGAAGGGAGAACCAGGTAAGAAGCCCCAGGCAAATGTGACATTTGAGAAGGCAAGAGCAAAAGGTGCATTTTGGCAAAGGCATCTCCCAGCCCGGAGCTCTGTGCTGGGCTCTGCACACACCTGCAAACGCACCAACAGGAGAGACCCTTCCAGGGACCCAGGTGCTCCTGGCTCCCAACACTTTTGGGCCATTAGGAGAAATTCAGGTTTCACATTTCTGCCCTTGAGAGCTCAGTTTTCAACCCTAGAGATGTCCAAAATTCAGGCTCAGTACCTCTAGGGAGAAAGTAACTTCAGCTGTTCTGGAGAAAAGCCCAGTGTCTCTGCCCAGCACGGTCAGGAGCCACCCATGGGGTGCCCTTGCTCACCCTGCAGAGCACCCTCCTCTCCATGCCTGGTGGTATGGAATTCCCAGGAGCTAAAGAGGTCAATGTAGCTCCAACCTATTGGCAAAACCCACTCCAGAGTGAGCAGCAACAAGATAATGTTGCTGCTCCAGCATTACCCAAGAAATCCCCAAGAGAGATGGGGAAAACGCAAGAGGTTTGCAGGACTAACACTGGAAAACCATCCCTGTCTGACCCCTTACTCCAATACATGCCCTGTGCTGGCACAGCACACAGGGTTGAGCATGGAGACAGGGATGCTGGTACCTGCAGCAGGTAGACCGGGATGCTCTCCTGCTTTTTCCCTGCTCCATCCCCCATAAGAGACCTTTCAAGGCTTTCTCCCTGCCTGACCACCAGGGGACACAGATGCCAGGTTTGTCCAGGTGGGTGGGAGGCAGCAGCCATGGGGATTGGAGCAGGAAGCACGTCTGCTGAGAGCTGCTCAGTACCAGTCTTACTGGCTTGGCCAGAAAGTTGAGCTCTCCTGGATTAGTTGGTCTGGGCGTGTCGGAGTGGTTTGGGAACACTCTCCGGAGCAGGATTTTTCATGGTGGAAAAAAAAAAAAAAAAAGGGAGTCCTCTGTGATTTACATGCTAAGGAGATATCATCATGGCAGAAGAATTTCAGCTGATTACATTCTGGGTGTGGGAATACAGGACTTTCTTCAGTTCTCACCTTAAGGTTGACACAAAGCCCAGGAAACAAGACACAGAAACTTCTGCGCTTTCTAGTGAACCTTAACCTGCAGAAGGATAAGGTGAGGATGGGATCAGGCCACAGGGACTCCAGGAGTGCCTGGAAGCAGCAATGTCTGCTCTCCCACCTGGGCAGGGAGGCTGCCCTGCTGAGCCCCACCCTAGCCAGACCTGGTGTCATAACCAAGAAGTACTGAGCTTCTGGAATGCCCCTGCCCCTCTGAAGAGGGCACAGCCCTGTCTGCCCTCCACGGCCAGCCCAGCTGTGCTGCTGTGGGTGCAGTCAGGGTGATGCCACCAGCAGCAAGGTTTGGCCCCCAACTCGTGCAGATTCACTCTGTGCGGAGGTCGGGTGTGTGCAGGTTTGTGTCTGGGGTTCTGTAGCCTTGGGGTCTATGTGCAGCAGAACCTTTTGCTGGGCAGAGAAGTGTCTCCCCTGCCTTTCCTTCCTCTGCTCCTCAGCACATGTTTCCTGCTGAGAGACACTGACCAACACCAACAGCAAATGTGTGAAAAATATGCTTCTCCCCACCTGGGGCTAAAATGGGAAGGTGCAGTCTGGTGTTTAAATACCCCCCAGCTTCCCACCTGAATGTAGCCACAGATGTAGGGGCAGCACTTGCAACTTTGGTGTAGCAAAGTCCTACGGATACACCTTTACTGGGAGCTGGTTTCCCAACAGAATCCTGTTGGATCATCCATAAGCATTCATTCCAAGCCACTAAGCTCTCAGTGTCTCTGCTTTGCAACACAGTTTATTGCTAAACCTGTTTTCTGCCTCAGTGGCTCTCAGAGCACGGACCAGTGGCTCTGTATCTGCTCATGAGCTTGTCAAGTCTCCTGCCAGCCAAAAAAGCCCTTCTTTTTGTGTTTCCTTAGATGACAATGATGCTGAGTCTGGGAAGCAGGAATCCGATGAGCCAGACACAACGGACAGCGAGGTTGGTTTGTTCTCCTCAGCCATCAGCTTAGGCTGCCAGGTCCAAGAGGCATAAGACAGGTTGTCCCTGCCCAAGCTCCTTCCAGAAGGTGATGGCTCTTCCTGCACTAGGTGCCAAAACTCATTCCCACCCTGTTACACAACTTGTTGCTGAGGGATAGAAGTATCACTCTTTCCAGCTAGACAAGAGTGTTTATGAACAATATCATTTGTCATCACTCCATAGGAATGATCACAAAGGTCCCTGGCAATGCCACTAGCTCCCTGGGAAATCCAGGGTAGTTTGTAGACTGACTGTTCTCATTGCTCTAGGGGGCTGCCCCATATGAAGACGAGATCCTACAAGAAGCCGAGGCTGATGGGAAATACTTTTGCACCAAAGACAAAGCTCATGTGCAACAGAAGAGAAAAAGAGGACAGGAACTTTGGCCGAAAGGTAGGGAGGAGGAGTCCCTCGGGGCATCAGCTCAGGGTCACAATTTCTGCTGCTTCCCAAGAGGCTCCTATGAGAAAAGCATGAGGGAACCGAGGGCAGAGGGGAGGAGGGCTCTTCTGCCGAGCACATGCCATGCTGTGCTGTGTTTTGGCAACACCTGTCTCCAGCTGGAGGAGCCCCCTGCTAATGGTTAGCCAGAGCAGCCTGAGCAGGGTGACCAGGAGAGCACTCCTGAGCACCTAAGCTAACAGAGCTGTGTTTGCTTAGCAGGTCAGGGAGGCAGTGACTGGGGAAGGCCAAATTCCCAGGGGTGAGTTATTCACATGCAGAGAAAGGTTTCTGCCCATTCTGTTGATCTCCCACTGTGGCTGGGGAGGTCTCCCTGCTGACAGAGGAATGTGTTGTACTCGTGTTTCCTACAGGTGAATAAGCAGAAAACTGCTCCTGATAAGGGTAAGGATAAGAGAGACCTTTGTCTGTCAGGCTTTAAAAAGTGCTCTGTCAGACAAACCCTGCTGCTCACCCCCTCTGTACCAGCCGTAAAGACAGGGAAGTGTTGACCCAATTATAAATGCAGAGAAGTCTGCTCCTGGAACATGAAAGGAGATTGTTTAACAGCCCAGCCTTCAGAGGGGTTTGCTTACTCAGGGTACACCACCAGAGCTGGGTGACAAGAGGATTTGCTCTACAAAATCAGCCACTCAGAGCAATGGGGGGGAAGATGCCCTGTACACCCCAGGGCAGACACATCCAACCTTCTAGGACAGGATGGAGATGTCCCAAGTGAGGACTGAACGCAGCTGTGGTAGGAATGGGGTGATGGAGAGACATAACACCTCTCTCAGCATGTGGTGTGGGCCATGTACCACACTGGAAGGGGGGAAAATACAAAGAATACATCCTGCTGGTCTGGGTACCCTCTCAGGTATGCTCCTGCATCAGGTCAGTTCTCTGCCTATTTCTGCTTTACATGTTGTTTCTGTGTCCAGGATGACAACAGCCTCCCCTGGATAATCCACACATCTCACTTGTGAGGTGTTTCTCTTGGTCTCTCCTCTGCTGAGCTTTGCTTCCTCCTGCACTGTCCCTATTTTGGGATGAGGTCATGCTGATTCCGTACATGTAAATCCATTGCTCTGTGGTTGACTCCTGCTGTCATCTTGCTGTTTACAGGAGCTAAGAAGTCAATGAGAGGAAGAAAGAAAATCAAAGTGGAGCAATGCTCAGTGGGGATCACAAAGGAACTGGAGAATTGCTCTGCTTCCCACAACGATACCTCTGAGGAGAGTTAACAGCAGGGCAGGATGAAGCGACACGGAGGGCTCGGAGGCCTCAGCATCCCACCCACACTGGGAGTGAATCCGTCTGTCATGCTGGGCCTGGCAGTGGGGAATTCATAAGGACCCACTAATGGGTAGAGCACTCAGAAACTCCTCACTCAGTGCTCCAGGAAAGGCTAGGCAAGGAAGAGCCATGCAGGTGATCCCCAGAGCAGACAGGTCACTGCTGGTGGAGCAGCACATTCAGCAACCCCAGGTCTGCACTGGAGCAGACCCTCAGACTGGTGCTAAGAAGAGGAAACATCTCTTTGCAGCACTCACCCTGGATCAGAACAATGATTCTTCCCTGGGATTTCATGCTTGGAGAACAGACTACTCAGGCCCCATTCCTCATGTAGGATGGCCTGGTGGCTGGTCAAAGGGTGGTGACCAAGCTAAACACTGCATGTACAAACCTGCTTTGATTAAATCCATACCCAGGTTTCATACACATGCAGATCTTCTTTGACCTAGAAAAAGTCCATGGTTTCCTTTTCCAGTTAAGTGAGGAGCAAGCACATGAGTGGACAGGTGGGATGTGTCCCTGGAGAGGGCAGGGAGACAAGCACGGGAAGGGAGGGCTTGGGTGCTCACTCTCCCCAAGGTGTCCTGCATGCCTGAAAAAGGTCAGTGTGTGAGACCCAGCTGCGGCTCACAGCAGAGCACCAGCTCAGCAATTCACACTAACCTTGGCAGGATCGCTGGGAGCTGTTTTTCACGTGGATAAACTGTTCTTAATAATATTTTTTTCTGTTGGGCTGAGATGAGAAGGACTGCAGTGAGCATCCCTGCAGCCACAACATCGCTCCAGGAGCCAAGCTGGGGTGTTCCTGGAGCACAGCTGGAGAACAGGAGGACAAAACAGGAAACCAGAGAAGGAGTGCCAGAGCCAGTACCTTCCCTGGTTGGTGCCTCATCATTTCCTTTGCCCGCAGTTATTTCTATTCAAACGTATGTTTGTTTGTCCGCTCACAAGAGCGAAGGCAAAGCGCAACCAGCCAAGAGCAGCATCTTCATCCTGCAGCGCCTTCCTGCCTCCCCAACACCAAAATCTCACTTTAAGAGGGGGAGCAGGGGCGGGAAGGGGCCCTGCCCTGAGCGGGGCAGTCCTGCACCCAGCCGGGCGGGAGCGGTGGAAGCGGTGCGGGAGCGG